AACATTGACTTCAACTACATGACAACCGAGAGGGATTGGGAAGAAATGAGAGCGTGTTTGCGCCTTGGAAGAGAACTTTCTCAGCAAAAGGCGTTTGATGAATTCAGAGGAAAAGAACTCAGTCCTGTAGGAAAAGACATTCAAAGCGACAAACAGATCGATGATTTTATCCGCCAAACTGCGGAAACTGTTTACCATCTTACAAGTACCTGCAAGATGGGTGACTCTTCTAACAAAATGGCTGTGGTCGACAATGAAGCGCGTGTATTTGGTGTTGAAGGACTTCGTGTGGTAGACGCGTCTATCATGCCAAGTGTGGTCAGTGGTAATACCAGTGCGCCTACGATCATGATCGCAGAGAAAGTGGCCGATCATATCCTTGGTAACCCGTTGTTCCAAAGCAATATGTTGACATCTACAAAACATCAGAAGAAAATTAAGAGACAAAGATGACCTTCTGTTTTCTGACGGTAAAGAAGATTTCACTCGCTTGTTGAGCTCTTATTAAAAACTGAATAAATTATAATAAACCATGAATACTACTAAGCGCAGGGAGCCCAATAAAATCTGAACAGAGCCTAGTCTGTACAAGGTACTGACATCAGTACCTTGAATATTTCGATTCGATTTCAATCAAAATTTCCCAGGAGATTAATGGGCGATCCATAAAATTTTAAGGGTGGAGTTGGAAGACTTTGAAAAAATATAGGCAGTCGATGACCACAACACGGACCTGACATAGCACTCTGAAACCATGAAAGCTCCTTTTGAATGGTGAACGGTTATAGAAAGACCCAGAATGCATTTCGCTCTTGGAATACACTATCAGTATTCAACGTTGTCTTTATACGAATCAAGGAACTGAAAGCATCAAGTGGCGATCAGCCAATTACGTTGCCTATATAAATATGGCGATTCCCAGGGGCCAAGGAGCCTATTGTGATGGTTGATCATTCCCATGGGGGTCTGTCGCGGGGCGCCCTGTTTGCCTGSCCACTGTAAACATATCRTTCTGAAAGATTCGTAAAAGGAATTTTTATCCACGACATGAAGTTCTTAGAGGTTTAATTTAGCTGTAGTCAAAGACATCTTTCTGTATCTGTTGACTTATAAACTCATTTAAAAAGTCGTTTTCTTCGATCAAATGTTTATATCATTTAYAATGTAGTTTAACATATTATTCGCCTGATTATAGTTTTGCAATGAAACCCCAAAGATTGTTAAATTTTTTAGTATCTTTATCAAGTTTATACGGATTGTCATTCATCCGCTTCAACTGTTAACATTAACTGTATTTAGATTTAATAATGATTTGATAATCAATATTAATCCATTTGTAAACTTTTATATCACCGAGAACGAAAATGTGGAACGTTCGAGTGTAATTTTCGAAGTTCAGAGGTCTTAGTCAATTGTGTTCCATTGCCGATCCCTGCAAATCTTTGGCAACAGTTAGTATCTGCATGCCTGGTCTGTTAACCACTTACCTTAAGAATTTCAAGAGATTTTTGTCGTGTTGTTCATCTGAATACTAGTGATGTCTGTCTGATATAAGAACTGTACACCTTTTCCTGTGATGATTTGGAAAACAGTTACGACAATTGAACAGCTCGATGAAAGCCGTCACAGTACATCAAGTACATCGGTATTCAGCCGCAAACCAGCACTTGGCACCCACCCCACCCACCCCACCCCCCATCAAATAATAAATCTATTGAAGAATGATTATGCAAACCCTGATCTTTGCTAATTCCTGAACTGAGCTTTGATTGGCTCGCTGCTCCCTAAGGATTTTGATGACGTCATATATTAGCATAGAACTTCYCCGAATAGACTARCCCBATTAGYRATMWGATATCTATAAGTGTCTTCATAGTACGATGGTCTAAGAGGGTAGCTAAAGGTATGCTCTAGTGGGCGGCTACCCCCTCACTCCCTGGCCTTTTGGTTAAGACTAAGTTTTATGTTCACTCGGGATAACGTGGAAGGGCCGAAATCTCTAACCGTAACGTAAGCCGATTCGCCGCCTCAGCTTCATAGAATGTCTCGGGGGAATCGTCCCATCTTTTTATTTTTTATTTCATTATTTCTTATGTATGTCAGGGGGGGTTACATCTTCTACTTATGAAAATCCTGAGTTCGAGCCCTGCTGCTGGTATTTCTATTTTTTTTCACTTGTTTCTTTTTGGCGCGTTTGTTTCTTGTTTTCTTGTTTTCTTTCTTTCTTTTTTCTTTTTTTCTTTCTTTGATTTTCTTTTCTGTTGTTACTTTGTTTGTTTTTCTCTAGAAAATTTTTTTCCAACTTCAAAATATCAAGGACTCGCAAGGAACGCCTGCTACAAGTGGATGGTTACGGTTCGATCAATAAACACGATGACATAGTGACGAGAGGCCCCATAAGCCTTTCGTCAAAAATCGTGCACGGGCCTAAAAAAATTCCTGCAAGGCAAAATTTTGAAAAATCGGCACTAAAGCTTTTTTAAATTAAAAAAAATTACAAGCGCGCGCCGTAAGTCCTAAAAAAAATTATCGCACGGACAAAATCTTCCGATGATGATCGCCCCTAAGTACGTGACAGTAAACGCCTGGTTGCTCACGTGACAAAGGTCAAACCAAAAGCCATCGACTTATTCAAACAACCCATTGAACCACGATGATTTAAACTTTGATCTCCTTTTTTAACCCTACAAAACACCAAGTGCGCGTTTATCACAGATCATGCAAGCACGAACAAGCATGAATGATGGCTAACTTGAACTCACGCAAACTTAAATCTTTGAATATGGTTTCCTTTGATGTGCTACAACTCGTTGCTGTTATCATCATATTTCTTCTCGCTTTTTACTGGATGGGTACTTACAAGTTCGCAGTTATCAAGTCCTTCAACATCCCTGGCTTTTAACATTGGCCCTTTGTCGGTAACATCCCAGATATTTGGAAATATGATATAGAAATGAAAGAAAGTTATAGTGCTTAGAAGGAGGCAATTCCGGGAGAAGTCCCTTAGGTCTTCATATTCATATCTTTACATTATTTGGAAATATGGCGGCTTGGATAACTTGGTAGTCGAGTACAGAAAGCGATACGGCAGTGTATTTTATCTCTGTCTTGGGCAAGAGCCATGGATAGTCGTGGCAGATCCTGAATTAATAAAACTTATAACAGTCAAAGAGTTTGAAAGGTTTTGAAATAGGAAAGACCCGACTGTTCCTCCGCCTCCATTCAATGCAAGCCTTAACACCGCCGAGGATGATCAATGGAGGCGAATACGAGGCGTCCTGACACCAGCTTTGACTGGAGCCAAACTAAAACAGATGGTGCCGCTGGTAGAAGACTCCTGTGACATACTGATGAAGAAATTCCAGGAGGCCGCTGACTCAGGTATCTGACTTGCATTCATACTTCCAGATACCTCCTTGTTCGTGACATCAAAGCATGAAAGCTCTCCGAGTAACAATYGTCTTGACCCCCGAATTGAGCAGTATACCCATGAAATGCAAGAGTACATTTGACTGTTGACTTATAACTTTCAGGTTCAAATTTTAAATGCTGGTCTACATACAACAAGTACTCATCTTATTAACTGTTCATTAGCTCTTGCGCACTTTCCTGAAGTGCAAGACAAGTTGACAAAAGAAATCGATGATGCTTTGGAGCATTATCCTGATAAACCGCTTTACCAACTTGCTCAGGAACTGCAGTACATGGACTGTGTGTCCAATGAGGTAATGCATTGTCAATGAATATGAATCTGTTTTATTTTATTTTTTTTTTCATCTTATTTTAACAGATTTATTGGCCAAAAGTAAATACGAAATAGAAAAGGATTCGAATAATAATAATAATAAAAAGAAGTGTCCAATAGGGAATGCGCGAACGGGCGACCCATGCGAGGCGCTTCCCTGAAGTCTATAACTTTACCACATACTTTCTGTGTTATTTTGATTATTTCTATTGCTATCGTTATATGTTGCTGTTGTTGTTGTCATAAGGTACTACCTCTTCTGTTCCTATCATCGACTGCAATCAATCGCCGATGTAACCAATCATGTGCTATGCAAGGGGTCCATTTTCCCAAAGGCACAGGAGTGATACTCTGCTTTTATCTCCTGGGCACTGATCCCAATGCGTGGCCTGAACCCCTCKAATTTGACCCTGAAAGGTTCCMTGGCCCAGCTAAGAGACACCCCTATCAGTTCATGCCCTTTGGGATTGGTCCCAGGATGTGCATWGGTATGCGTCTAGCTCTTCTCGAAGTCAAGTTGACTCTTGTTAGACTTTTGAGGGAGTTTAGATTTATGCTGGCGCCTGAGACGAGAGGGTTCGACTTGCACAGAAAAGAATTTGGCGAAGTGGAATTGAAAATAGTAAGACGTCACCACAGGTAGCCCATCTGTCATCCGAGGTGTTAGCCCACTTCYCTGGTGGGATTCCTGAGCCAAAGTTAGCGCAAGAACTWAACGAAGGCATAGGGGAAACGTTCAAACGACGCATAGTTTTTCGATAATTTTCGACATTGATGGGATTAATTGACCAAACACCAATGATAAGAACAGTTCYAAACAGATTTGATGTTTCTCAGCAGCATGTGATTTCGGAAATTAAAAACATATCTGGTTGACGTCAATGCTGTAAACTGTAAAGTGATGTGTACTCTGCCATCAAGCCTGGATCCAGGGGGGGATCCATTGGTACACTGAACACCCCGCTAACGTCGCAAATATTGCGTCATTTTGAGAAAATAACGCACTTATATCAGATACACCAATAAAACACGCACTGTAGAAAAGTGTCGTGTTATGGTTTTGTTAAACAAAAGGTTTAATCGTCTAGATTTCTAATTTATTCATGTTTTCTGATGCTGTCTATTTCTTTCATTTTATGAAGAAATGTCCTGACAAATATCTGGCTGCACTCCCTGTTTTCGGATTAATGTTGAAAATGCCAAGGAGCAGATGATAGTCTATTATTTGGAGTAATATTTATTCAAAATAACAATGTTTTTTGGAGTGAACGACCTTGACATATCTTGTTAAAACAAAGGTATTTTAAGAATAGAGTTTTCAGCGTTGATCAAGGTCAAGGATAAAACACCACAGATCACGTACGCTACATATAATACCGGAAGATTCAAGTATCATATAAAATACAGTATCGTGTGCAGACAGACAGACAAAAAACTATTGAATGAATGAATGAATCCTTTATTTATACACAAAATTATACAACAGCCATTAGTCTGGTATATATGTATGTTATGGTTTTAAAAACAACGATAATAATAAAGAAAATCTGATATAGTGCTCGCACTTAAAGAGTGAAACAAATAGTACTAATTACTACTAAATAGTGTTGATTATACAATGGGAAACACTGAGGAATTTGTATAATTTACCACCTATTTTGTAGTATTTATATTTCACGCATTTAGTGCGAGCACTCTACACTATATATCTACTATCTTATTATAAAACAATATGTAAATCTAGATTAATTTTAATATATATGATAATATTTTCCTATTGAAACTCGAGAATGGTACTGTTTCATGGATTTCAGGGGGCAAACTATTCCAGACCACAGCTCCGTATCAGCAAGTAAGTACTGTGAGCAGCTGGTTCAAAGAGACCTGGGACATCGCATTCTCAACTTTGTTTTGAGACAATAACAACAATTCTGTCTTTTGTTTGCTTGTTTTTTGGCTTGATTTTATTTTGTTTGGTCTTTTGATAAAACAATCCTTAAGAAAAGGATGAATTTATAATATAATAGTTGATCGTATACTGCATCAACTGATGTCAATCAAAATAGACAAACTCCCAGCGAATGCAAACGCGCAAACMCGCATGAGAAAGTGGGAAGAATTGTTATGAAACTGCCAAAATTGTAACAGTTTCTTTACCATTTTTTCACGCAATTTCTTCTTTGTTCCTTAGTTTTGATCATTTTTTCMTCCTCCTTAGAGCCGTTATCAGGCTCATCCCCGTGTCTTTCTCCCAATAACTCGCTAGTTGTGAGAGACATTTGAACGAACTCAATCATTAKCGGATACGAGATCGAGGAGACTACCATGTGATTTATATCCTTATTTCCTGCGTCTTGTCCTGTCCTGTTCTCCTGGCCACGACCAACGCTTAAAACACATGCGCAATT